ATGAAAGTTTAAGGATAATTTTGATATTTTTTAAAGGTAACCAAAGTGTAAAATTGAGGGATTAAAATGGTACCTAAACCTGTTTTTTTTTTTTTTAAACTTACAAACTGAGCTGATTCATACTCAATGAAAACAATGAAATCTTACAAAATGCACATATAAGTTGGGTGAATGAATATGGATGCTAGTATTTTTTTTTTTTTTTAAACAGTGTGAAACTTTTTTCGGAAAAGGAAGAAAGAGAACTTGGGATTTGATCACAAGTTTCGTTAGTCTTATGCACATTCCGTAAATTCCGCAAAGGGATGACCAATAACCTACCAAGTGCGGGGCATGGATGCTAGTATCTTGTTGAGTGAAAAACTAAAGAGATTAATACGGTATATAGATTGTAAAATTTAGGATTTTAAGATTTTATTAATGATATGTTTGGGATCATGAATTTTATAAAGTATATTTTTACTGTTTTTTGTATAAATAAAATGTAATTAAATTTGAACAAAAATAAATGTATTTCACTTGGTTATTCAAAAAGAGAAAAATCCGTCTATTTCAAATTCATCTTATAACACATGAAATTTTATTTCAAACTCTGCATTCTCTCCGCACGTGGACGGCGATAAAGCCTCCATCTCGACTTCTGTTCATCGTTGACTCTGTCGGAAATTAAACGGATCTCTATAGCTGGTCAGGCCTAAAGATAGGAATTGGGATGCTAAAGCTCAAATCCCATAAATGCAATTGCTGCCAATCTAACTTTCTTGGATTGCTTTGGTAGAGATGACAATCAGGTAGATAGCCGAAAATATTGACGCCGGCTAGGAAAGTGGGAGGCCTTCGAGAGGGAGAGGGAACAAGGAGTGGAGATGCCGAGTGAAATCGGAATTCTAGATGAAGAACATGACCATAGATGGACTTCTCGGAAAAATAAGTTGGAGGCCTCTTTTCTCGTACATAGCAACAGTAGAAAGAAATTTTTATACTCCACCACTTAGAAAGGCTAAAACTCTGGTTTTGAAATAAAATTTAAATTTTTGGTACAGTAAATACCCCTTTTTTGTCTACATTGGTGGAATATTATATGGCAATTCCTTATTTGTAGATATTATTTTGTTGCTTTATTTTTTATACTGAAATCTTTTTATGATAAATTTATTTTTATAAAAATTGAATATTATATGATAATAAAAAAATGAATAGAAAATGAAGAACATGAAGATAAATTGATTAGTGAAAATCATTATTCTTTTTTTTTTTAATTCAATTTATATATCTTGAAATAATTTAAATAATGCTTTGCAAGATTAAAATTGTTAATTTTGATCTTATTAAATTTGAATAATGATTACAAAAAGATTTAATTTAATAGGAAAAATTTAATTTTAAATGCATAGTTTTTAATATATCCAAACAATGTATTTAAAAATATATGTATTTGAAATTCATTTTTTTATTTAATTCAAACAATGTATTTTAAAATACATTTATTTAAAATACATGAAAATACATATATTTAAATTACATATATTTTAATTACACTCATCAAATTCAAATTCAAGTTCCCGAACACAACCTAATAGTATCTTGGTTTGAAAGAAATAAAAACTAAATATACCCTAAAAATCATATTTTTTTCATCTGAATTAATTGTTTTAATTTAATTTTACATAAACTTTGACTATATAATTTTACACAAATACATACTAGTAATAACATAAAATTTTTTTATATACATAAATTGAATATTTTAACTTAAATTAATTTATGTTTTTAATTATAATTTGTTTAGGAACTTTTGGCAGTCATCAAAATGGAGACCTACTATAGTGGCACAATCTTTCAATAACAAGATATGATAAGCAAACTTGTGAAACCCAAGGTAGGTCTCACTAGGCATGCCAAAAAGAGATTGTTTTTTTTTTTTAAATCTCTCTTTTCGATTGTGTGGTAAATAGGACAATAAAAGAGTGCCACTCACTTTACTCAAAGTGAGAGGAGGAATTTCCAACAACCTTCGCTACTTCCAAGCATATGACTCAAGAGTTGCGAGTTGATGGAAAAGTGCTGGTTAATAACTAATGAGATGTGCCCTAGTAAGACAATTGATGTAGAAATGGGGATGCATTTCTGCATAAAGATCCATAAACAATTGTCTTGAAAGAATATCAAGGACTTCTCACAAACTAAGACTAAAATATTAGTTTCTTAATCAAAATAAAAGGGAAAAAGAGAGGAAAATAGAATGCATGGTAGAAACTAAGAAACTAAATTGCTAGTAGTATGAACGCTATGCTAGCAACATAAAGTGAAAATTAACAAAAGTTGAAGAAACATGGATCTAAAGAAGATTTTACTAAACTGACTTGCAAAAAATCAAATACATCAGTAAGATGCTTAAAATAAAATGACAAATATTAGATCTAGAGCTGGTAGCATAGCGTTAACAATTAAACTAAAAATGCTATTTAAGAAAGTTAAAACTAAACTAAGACATAGTTTGGAAAGCTTGTGAAAATAAAATAGAAGACAGCACTAGGCTAATTTGACATGGGGCAATTTATAATAAATGGGACACATGTCGTTTTTTAATTGATTTGCAAAAGAGCAATTATACAAAGACAATATTTTTGTACAATTTTTTTTTATATAACTTCCACGTATCATTAAATGAGTGTATGTATTTAATATCATACGTTCAAATGAATAAAAAAATTAATTATTTAAATGATATATAAAGTTGTCTAAAAAAGTGATATAAAAATATTGTTTCTAAATCATTTTCTTTTGTGAAAATAGGTGTAAACACTCACGATTTCAACAAACCAAATCAGAAAATAAATTTCATTTAAGGACCAACATAAGTTAAAAGAAAACAAAATAATTAGAGAGCAGGCTGGGACTTGGGATGTTTCTATACCTTTTTACCGTCTTCAATGATGACGGGATGATCATAAAGGCTGAGTTAAAGTGACTTGAAGGAAGAAAGGGATGGCAATGTAGGAACCAAATTTTGGTAGTCGGTCAACAGGAACTTAACCCAAAGTGCGTCGAAATCAACAGCAAAGTTGAAGGATTTGGAAACTAGCAACAATCTACAGGCATTGAGTGGACTAGTTAAGGAGATAATAAAGGCGAGACAATCATTAGGAAGATTGTCGAAAATTCTGCATTCCAAAACTTGTTTGTTTGTTTCTCCAGTCGCTGATTCGAAATGCAAGGAAGAAAAGTAGGATGAGATGGGAAGCATCAATTAAAGACTTTAGGCAAAACCATATGTTAAGCCCTTGAACTTACACTAAATTCTTGATTAAGCCCTCAAATTTTTATTGAAGTAAGTAAGCCCTTAAATTTGGTGATTTAGGTAATTTAACTTTCTTTTTTATGGCAAATTTAATGTCCATTTGTACCTCACTTGCATGGATAAGGTATTTTTATGTCATTACCTATGTAGCAGGCATTAATCTTATTCGTACAAGTAAGACACAAATAAGTATTAAGTCCACTATAAAGAAAAAGGTTAACTTGTCCAAATTGCTAAGTTTAAGGTTTATTTGCTTCAATAAGAGTTTAGGGGCTTAATTAAGAATTTAAGATAAGTTTGGAGCTTAACATAAGGTTTTGCCAAGACTTTAGTCCTTGAGCTACTCAAAATTGTGAAAAGGTTTAATGTACATAGTTGGTACTTCCACTTATCAATTTTTTCTCATTTTGGTCCCTCAATTTTTTTTGGTATGAAATGTTCCTTAAATATAATTTTCTAACCCCAAGTAGTCCTTTCGTTAAGGGACGCTGGCGGTGTGACCTATTTTCTTATTTTGATAGCCAAAAGAAAATTATATTAATGCTCTTCCATCCTAGAATAATGGATGCGTTTTGATTTTATCTTTACATTAAGGATTTAGAAAAAAAAAATTATTTTCACTTATATTACCCAAAAAAAAAAATGAAACTTAAATCACTATAAAATAAATGATTAAAATCAAAAGATAATGATAAGGTTAAATAAAAAATATTTATCTTCTTTAAAATATAAAAAAAAATTACTATTGTTCTAGAACAAATTTTTATTAAAAAATATGTTATTCTAAAATAAAGGAAGTAAAAGAATATAAACGAAGAGTCTAATTTTTTTATCATGTTTAAATAGAAAATAACTCTTAATAATGATAGATTTACTTTAATTTAAAAATTAGTTTAGTGCAGCGTAAGATCCAATACTAAACATATCTAATAAAAGAAACTCTAGTCATGCAATAGAAGTACCTTCATTAGGTAAATGAAATTTAATAACACAATTTCTGAAAGTGACAAAAATGTAAGGAATCCAAATTAAACATCCATTTGTGAGGAAGTCCATCCCTAGAAAAATTCCCGCCAGGAGGAAGGTGGCCTAGAAATTGGGGCGGGCACCGGTGGGATAGGGTACCTTACCCGGTGATTTTTTTGGTAGCCAATAATTTTTGGCAACGATTTTTCCTTACTAATATCATGTCAAGATATTTTTTAATAATTGGATACCTGATAAAATTTTTAGCAATAAAAATCATCTACAATTACCATTTAAATACTTGCCAAATTCATTTCATACTATTTTTCATTTGCAAATTTGAAGTATTATGTCACTTTGAAAAAAAATTTAATTTACAATAAAAAAATCTCAAGTGAAATTGATAGGTCATAAATTGAATAAAATAACTTTAAATTAAGTCTTTTATCTTAAAAATGTAATTATATGCTTTTAAATTTTGATTAACTTTAAAAATATTAAAAAAAAAAAGCATTAATGGACTTCTCTTGTTATTCATATGTCAAGATAAATTAATAATTACTAATTGTGACTA